GGGGGGGGGGGGTGAAGTCATCTCTCCGTGACTGACTCCCTGACTGTCGCTCACTTGCAGAAGGCGAGAGTGCGGATGCCGTTCTTGACAAGTTCGGCGAGCAAGGCGCTGGTCTCGACAATGGGCGAGCGCCTCCCGGGTGCCGTGCCCTCTAGTGCGGTCCGCAGCCGGTCTTGCGATATCAGCGCCCCCCCGCCCCTCTTCCTCACCTCACGCCGGAAACCCTCGCGCGACTCATCTTCGGGGGGCATGACGCGGGGCGGGGGGTTCCGCATCCCTCCTGCTGCTGCTGTGGCCTCCTCCTCCTCCTTGATGAAGGGCGGCTCTTGCTTGGTCTTTGCTGCTGGTGGCGGTGGTAGTGGTGGTGGTGGTGATGGTGATGGTTGCTGGTCGTCGTCTGTCGGTTCTTGCTTGATGGTCGGGTGTCTTTGTGGGCTCTGTGGCTCTGGCTTGAGGGTGATGCGTTGGATGAGGAGGTCGATGACGTGGTTCTCGATGTCGATCGTTTCAGCAGGGGAGGGGGAGGGCTGGTCTGAAGGGGTGGCGGCATCTGCATCTGCATCTGCAGGCAGAGAGACAAAGGGAAGGACACCACACATGCAGATCAGATCTTGCTGATGCTTTCTTCCCACTGAGCTGCGTACCGTACCTTGCTGGTGGCCCATCTGCACGTCATCGTTGCCTGTGTCGGTGGCCAGCCCCAGTGTCGGGACGCCCTCGCGGCGGAATAATCCTTCTGTTTCGAAGTACCTGTGTGTGGAAAACGGAAAACAGCACAGACCCAGGAGGGTGGGCGTTTCCTGTGTGCAGCTGAGCTTCTCCGTCTGTCTGCCGTTCGTTCGTTCGTTCGTTCGTTCACTCATTGATTGACCTGAGCTGTTTGAGCAGCCAGAGCGCGTTGCGGAGGTACGGCGGGTTGTGGGCCATGCAATACTCGTACTCAAACTTCACAAGGGGATAGTCATACAAACGAGGGGGCCTGCACACACACACAAACACCACCCTTGCAGTCAGTCACCCCCTGCAGGTCAGTCATCTCACCTGCGCGTGCCATCCTGCGGCCGCTGTCGCTCCCGCACATAATACTCCACGAGCTCATCCAGCTCGCCCCTCTCGTCCTCGCCCATCGGCCCCCCACCGCCCTCACCCTCCCTCTCCTCCAGTGCGGCAATTGCCTCAGCAGACACACTCGTGAACAGGCTCTTGCACCACTCGTCTCGACGCTTGTCGGCCAGCCGATGCGACCGACGGAGATAGCCGTTCTCTGGCTCGCCACGCTTCTTGCGTCGCTTCATCGGTGGTGCGGCGGAGGGGGCGACGGCGGGGGCGGGAGCGCCGTTGTCATTGGTCTCGCCATCGGGCTGGTCCATCGATTGGTCATCGTTGGCGGCGTCAGGTGTTTCGTGACTCTCATCCTCATTTCCTTGACCACCCTGATCATCCTCCTCGTCCAGCCCGAAGACCTCCTTGACGGCCCTGGTCGGCCCCCATATCTCTTCAGCACTCATGTAGGGGGGATTCCATAGCACATAGCACTTGCTGCCGCACGGCGATCCGTCATTCTGACACACCACCACCTGGCGCTTGGGGTACCCTGGGGGTGGAGGAGGGGGAGGGGCTTGCTGCTCGTCTTCAGTGAAGAAGCCGCCCGGCTCATGTGCCGCTTCGGGGGGTTCTTGCTCTTGCTGCTGTGGCTGTTGGTCGTCGTCGTGTGTGGGTGATAATGGGAAGTCGTCGTCAGCGCCGCCCTGGCCCACGAGGAACCAGAAGTGCTCGTGGGGGTTGGCGATAGTGGCCGAACAACAGATGAACTGACGACAGGACAGGACAAAAGCACATTCACCCAACCGTGACAGACCGTGTCTGTGTCTGTATCTGTGTCTGTGTCTGTCTGTTGTTACCTGTGGGCTGCTCTGATAGGACTTGTAGCACACGCGGGCGAGCCGCCTCAGCACCGCCGCAGTGTGTGCACCGAACGCGCCCTTGTAGACGTGCGCCTCATCAATCACCACATAGGAAAGGTGCCGCAACACACGCTCGAAGCGCCGATGGGACGGCAGGAAGGTCACGTGCAGCCTGCACACAACACGACAAGACGGCAACCATCATCCCACCATATGCACACGTCGCTCCCTCCCTCCCTCTCTGGCTCGCTCAGTCACATATCGGGATTGGTGAGTATGATGTTGGCGTGCTGCATGACGTGCGAGCGGTCGCTCTTCGGCGTGTCGCCGTCGAATGTGGCGGGCCGGATGCGGTCGCGATAGGAAAGAGGCATGGCAAGGATGAGGGCCTTGAGGGCCCGCAGCTGGTCCTGTGCGAGCGCCTTGGTGGGAAAGATGAAGACCGCGCAGCTGTTGGGGTCCTCAAACAGCCGATGGAACGTCGCCGCGTTGTACACTCTGACAAGAGCACAACGGTTCTGTCTGTCTGTCCGCCAGAGCGCTTACAGTGACTTGCCGCTGGATGTCGACGTGCACACGACCACATCCTTGCCAGTCAGGGCCGCATCAATGCCTCTCGCCTGGTGGGTGTAGAACTGCATGGCCTCCCCTTCGCCCTTCCCATAATGCTTCCGCAGCCCCTCAACCAAAGCCGGGTGCAGCTGCGAATGCCGCAGCGGCTCATACCTGGGCGGCTGGGCGTCAATACGGTGCACATACGACACCTGCCCGCCGTACCACGGCTGCTGCTTCAGGTGGTCCAGGATAGTCTCCACTGTCTGGCGGGTGCGACAAGAGTCACCGTCGGTGCGCTTGACCATCAGAGTGAAGGGCTGCCTGTCGAGGGCTGAGTTGTCCTGGGGATATGGGATGGGCTCGATGTCGGGGATGTCGGCCGCTCCGCCGTCGTTGCTGCTGCAGCTCCGGTGCTCTGCGACGATTGCCTCTAGGCTCTCACGGAAGCGCTTGACCATCTTCTGTATGTCGCGGTCGGAGAGCTGCTCCTTGTGCATCTTGATGGAGAGTGAGCGTCCGTCGGCATGCTCGAGCACCTCCCCGCTGACGGCCCGCACCTCCTGCCTCTCAACGGGGTCCCGAAACTCACTGTTGCCGGCTCTCGTGTTCCACCAGAACTGACACACCAGCACACACACGCACACGCACACACACACAAGCATGCAGCAACGAATGCATTAACTCATGTGTTCGCAGCAGACGAGAGCTTTCAAGGCACCTGGATGTCCTTGCAGATTGCTGCCAGCTGCAGCAGGTGTCTGAGCTCCATTCCGTCGGGAGATGTGTCGCCCATGACCCGCCCAGCGGTGATGGAGATGGCCCGGACGCTCTTGGGCAGGGCGGCGATGCGGCAGTGGATGGAGTAGGCTTTCAGGAAGGCAGCGAACCGCTGGGAATGCGCCTCGTACACTGCGGGAAGCTCAGTTGATGAGCCGTCCTGGGCTTCCTGGGTGGAGATCTTGGCTCGCTTCTTGCTGCGCTTCTTCTTTGGCGCACCTGCGTCGGTACCTTCACTCATGGCGGCCTCTTTTCTCGCGGGGAAACTCCCTTCCTCGCCAGCTCGAGCTCGCAAGACGATCGAACTCATGATTTTTGTTGTTGAAACGACGAGCAATGTCAACCATACATCTCTCTCGTGCAACACACGTCATGATTAAGCCTCTCGTTCACACATGCAGTCGTCTTGCGGTGAGTCAGCCAGTCGTCAAGAGTCGCCCGGCAGGGGCAGCAGCCAGGGCGAGTGCAGTCCAATCGGTTAGTAAGTATCCCGCAAGGTTTTCGTTCTGCGTCCCCCTACCAGTCCAGCAACCACCCACCGTGGACAAACCATCCTACCCTTTCCCCTATCTGACCCAACACAACACAGCACACACATCTGACACTACCCACTCCCCCACAAGTAAACAGTGCACACCTGTGCCAAGAACCACAGATAGCACGGTACAGTACAGCACAGCACAGCACAGGACCTAGGTGCCTGCCTGCCTGCCTGCCTATGTCCCTGCCTAGCCAACACCTGACTGCATCACTCCCCCCAAGGTCTGTGCTTGCCTCTCTTGGCTATGCCCCACGCCCAAGAGCTCTCAAACCTGCAAACATCAGGGCGGCAAGTAAGTGGACACGAACCCCGTCATCTCCATCAACACCGCCACTCATCTCTCTACTCGTGTCGCGACTGTGTGTGTAATTTCTCACCTCCTCTCCGCAGTGATGATGACCCTCTGGCAGGACCCGAATGCCTTCGCCCGCACCTCTGCAAGTGTGACGCCAAAGAGCTCCTGCGATGCTGTTTGGTCTTTGGCGAACAGGTCGACGTCGAACACGGCCCCATCGTGCCCCTCGATAGTGTCCCCGTCCTGCATGTGCTTGCGCATCGATGCGAAGAGGGCTGCACGGGTGGTGTGATTGAGCTCGGTGAACTCGACCTTGATCACATCAAGGCCGCCATGGTTGAGCAGCGCCGCAATCCTCCCGCAGATGGCGTTGAGGGGGCTCATCTCATGCACGCCTACATGAAGCCACCGACAGGTGGGCGATAAGTCAGCCGTCGCGCGTCGTCTCATGTCCTTCTCTGCTGCGCTTACCACTCGCGAATATTTCCATCTCCCTCGCTCGCGGAACCTTTCCTCCCCAGTTGAGGCTGACGCCGTTGACAATGCTCACATACACCCGCAGCTTCTCCAACCGCACGCCACTGCCGATGCTCTGAAGGATGCGCATGACCTCCCCCTCCGGCAGCTGCCCAGAGATAGCATGCCCCAAGATACTGATATCCGCCATTCGTGCACGCTTGGCCAGCTGCCGGCCGGCGATGACTCCGCCGACCTTGCCGCCTTGAATGCAGATGTATTCTGCCATGGGGAAGGCGTCATGGGGCAGGTGCTGCACTGTGGGGGCCACATGGCCGGGAGGCGGCCACTCATCAGGCGGGTCCCAGCCGTCGGCGTCCTTCACGTTGATGTTCATGGCCGTCTTGAAGACCAGGAGTGACGCGATCTCCTTGGCTGCCTCGCTGAGGTTCGTGGGCGGCGTGCTGACGTCTTCTGGAGTGATGGTCACCACGACATCGGACGCAAGCGAAGCCAAGTGCAGCAGTTGCTTGATGACAAACGGCGATTGGGGTGGGTTGGTGGGGACGCTGTGCAGCAGGGCGACGTCAACTGCCCCGACACGGCCGGTGAAGGTGACGGAAATGTCTCTGGACTTGCCGACGGCCTTGACGAAACTCTCGAGGTGCGACAGAGCGGTGAAGATGCGGCCGTCTACCACCCCCAAGCAGTCAGCATCAATCTCGTCGACAAAGGTGAACTCGATGGCTCGGAGAAAGCCGCCATCGCCGCCACGGGAGAGCAAAGTCTTCTGGCCACCACAGCAGAACCAGACACACAGGTGGGCAGTCACGGGCCAAGGGGTTGGGTGTGCGGGTGTGGTCCTGTCGTCCTGTCTACCTGCAGGCTGTCCAGTCCAGTGCCGATCGCGTCATTGTCAGGAGGCCCTTCGAGAGCATGTAGCGCGAGGGTCCTGAGTACTTGCAGGTTAGCCAGCGGCGCCGATGTCTTTGGCATTGCCGCCAGCGCAGCCACCCACTCGACAAAGTCCAGGGGCGCGTCGATGACCCGCAGACTGGTGGATGTCTTGGCGAAACCCGCCAGGACGGCGGGGTCGAAGTCGAAGTCTCCGCCCCGCTGCGCACGGATCTCGCTCAGCAGGGGCAGCTCCCAGTGGCGGGCGGAGAACTCCTCACCCATTCTCGACGCCAGCCCCTTGATGGAGGTCAGGGCGTCGAGCATCGTTGCAGTGGCCGGGACAGGAGGGAGCTCTGAAGCCGTTCGCTTGAGAGCCTCGACCCCCTCCCCAGACAGGCGCATCATCTTGAAAGTGATCGACCGAAGGGTCCCGCGCACGTCGTCCTTGCGCCTCTTGCGCCCACTGCCCTCCTTATAGAGCCACTCCTGCTGGCCTTTCCCATGGGCCTCAACCAGCGAGACCAACACATCCAGACACCATCGCGGGCACCCACACGGGTAGCCGACAGTGATGGACTGCAGCTCCCTCATGCACTCGCCGATGCGACTGGCGGCGCTGAGAGGGATGCGGTCCCAGAAACAGCGGTCGTCTGCTGATGCGTCGATGGCCAGGTGTGTGTGGTGAGCGAGGGCCTCCTTCCACAGCTTGGTGCGGCTGAATGAGTGGATGTCTGCGCAGCGGAGGCAGCCGAAGATGCGAGGGAGGCAGTCAAGCATACGGTACTGCGCCTGACGAGCAAAAGATAAGAAGAACGGACAGACAGACAGTTCACTCCCTATGAACGTGTGTGCATAGCCCCTGGCAGGCTCTCAGATTGTTTTTCTACTTTTTTTCTCACCGGTCCTTCGTCGGTGGGTGGCTTGCCGCTGACATGGGTCAGACGAAGGCACCGATGCGCCTTGTCGTCCTGCGACGAAAGGCGTCCATCCACACCAAGCAGTGGCTGCTTCTCTGCCATCTTCCATGGCCCGACCTTTCGTTCCGCAGCGTTTGTTCCTTTCTCCACACTCGCCTCAGCAGCCCTGTGCTGCGTCAGCTGTGGCGCAGCCCCGGGCTCACTTGCAGGTGCCTGACAGCAACGAAACCCATTCCGTCAAGTGATGATGAGTATCTCTCCTTCTGTTTGCCTGTGCCATGGACGTGTGCTGCCTTCGCGTTCAAGAGCCCTCTTCCTGCCCTCCGATCGGTCTGCAAGCTCAGCTCGCAGATTGAACCGCTCTCTCGACACGCTGTCCCCTCCACCCATCGTTCTCAGCCTCTCAGCACCTCAGTGGCCACAGATCCAGCGCAGATCTCCTCCAACTCATGACGCCTCTTGTTTCCATCAGCCTTTATCGCTCCCCGATTGGAGCCTCGTGGGAAGAGTTTGCCCATCCATCTGTCCTTCCCCATCGGCAGCTGCAGTCTGCTCCCGCACCCCAAGCACGGCACCTGTGCCAGACACGGAGCAGACTTGAACAGAAGGGCAATGCCACCCTCATTGGCCCCAAGGGAAGGGACTGTCATGTTGTCTTGTTCAGGTTGTGGTGGGTCTCAAGGATGTCCATGCCAAAATCACATTATTGCACTGCAGCGAGGTACGTACGGAGGCAGATGATTCGGTGTGCAATGTGTGTCAGGAGAAAGGAAGGACACCTTCATTCGGCGTGTGATGGCCTCGGGCGCCGGGCGGCGAGTGTGTGGTTGTGAGCATGGAATCTGCGTGAAGCGGACGCAGATGGACGGAGGGGGATGGAGTGCTGTGCTGCACTTCCTGAGTGGGACTGTTGGCCGTCAGGGGGTGTGTGCGTGTGGATTCCGGTACCGGTTCAAGTCATTCTGTGTTCAAGTGCTCGTGTGTCCGTGCCAAGTTGTGTCATGTGGGCCTAAATCATCGCATCATTGCAATCATCACACACACGCCATGAATTCCACGCACACCAGTGGGCGAGGCTATCGCCAGGCTGTCTGTCAGTCAGGTCAGTCAGGTCAGCTGACTAAATGCCGACTGTCTGAAGTGAACTCATGTTGTCTACTCTATATCTCTCTCTCTGCCAGTTAAGTGCAATGCTTTCCTCTCTCACAATGCGAGTCAGATGTGAGGAACCAAATCGAACACATACCATACAGACAGCCTCGTAGACCTGCCTTGAAGGTAGTACGTCTGCCCTGTCCTCCTTCCCTCCCGCCCACCCATCCACACACTCGTCCCACTCGCGAGCGCACAGCCGACAATCCGTTCCATCCATCCATCCATCCCACACGACCCAAAACACACGGCATCACAGCCACATGCAAGCGTCATGCTCAAGGCAGCCCACAGCCACACACAAAAAAGAAGGCCCTCCTTGACTATCTAGGGTCTGACAACCAAAGCACACGCACTTGGAGGGAGAGAGGACACACACACCAATGCAATGCAGCCATCCATCCATCCATATGAGAGAGAGAGAGAGAGAGCGTGTGTGTCTGCTCACCGTGATGGATGGAAGAATAGGACTGTTCGATCTTCGCCCGTGAGGGACCACGTGCTGGCGCTTTGACACCCTGACACCTCCTGAAGGGACAGAAAGGACAGAGAACCACGAAGGTCACATGCACACAGATGGATGGATGTCAGTCGCCTCTCTCTGCCCCCTGCCGTGTGAATGGGGGTTTACCTTGGCCCAGCGACGGCCCCTCAGCCATTGGCGGCTCCACCCTATCCCACACGCTCGACGCCCCTGATATCCACAGCAACACATCATTCACATACACAGATCCGTACCATTCACACACATGACAGTGCTTCCCCTCTCTCTGCTCACGCTCGCCCTCCTTGCCCGTCTTCTTCTTGACGTCCTTCTGCTTCTCCTTCTCTGCTCGGCAGGCATAGCATATAAGAGATTAGAACTCGGCATGGGTTGGTTCCAGCGATGTGTGTGTCTTTGAGTACAGGCATTCGTACCGGTGGTCTCCAGCAGCTGGTTGATGAGGGCCTCCAGCCGAAGAACGGACACCGTGTTCATCCAGTCGTTGTCGGCCGCCCAGTGATTTGAAAACTCGATGTGGCTCGTCCTACACACCCTCCACACTCATATGATTTGGTCTGTCCGGTGAGCCGCGCAACCTGTGACACACCAACAGACGATGCACAGGAATCAAAGCCGTGTGCCATCATGTGTGTGTGTAAGTGTGCATCCGTGTGTCGTGTGTGTGTGTGCGGTCTGCCTACCATTCAATATGCATGGGCTGAAGGCACTCATCCATCCACTCACCCACTCACTCACACAATCATTGCACGTCAAGTTGCTGCGTCAAGTGACGCACTCACTACCGGTTGCCTCTCTCTAGCTACCTGTCAAACACACACATCACACACACACACACACACACATGCGCGACATGCACACCTGCTCTGCGGGTCAGTGCACAAGTACGTACACTATCTATCTACTCATCGCACACCTAAACTGTCAGGTCAGTCAGGTCATCGGACGGACGGACGGGCCGCACAAAAAGGCAAGACACTCGGCTGGGCTGGGCATGCCATTAATCAGGAGAGACAAGCACGCACGCTGTCGGTCTCAGTTCGGTGTCTGATCTGTCTATCTAGCTAGCTCGTTGGCTAGCTCGAATGAACAAATTGTCCTATATATCACATACACGCTAGCTATCAGCTTTCTTAAAAGGCACATCATCTCTCTCTCAATCATCTCTCTCTCTCAATCAAGAGTCCAGCCAGCCACCGATACATCACATCAATTACCTCACTCTCACTCACCCAACCATGCACACGTATGCAGGTACGCAATGCAACCATTGACGCCCCTCAACACCCCTCCCCGCCCCGCCCCTCTCCCTCTCCCGCCAGCCCTGCCCTGCCCTGCCCTGCCCTGCCCCCCGCTTAAAAGAGTTGGAACGAACAAGCGCTCTTCCTCTGCTCTGCTCTTTCGATGGTGCGTGAGTCCCCCCGCACATGCCATGCGTAAACCAACACATGAATGTGATGTGCAAACAGGGGGAGTGTTCGTTGGACGCACCGAGAGCATGGGACAAAAAACTGCCCCCGTGTGGCTGTCAGTAGGTGCGCTGTGGCCCTTCCCGCATCATCGCAACGGCCCGCCCGCTCACAGACAGAAAGGGCTGGCGTGGCGGCCGACACACGGGCAAGGCTCACAACGGCGGATTGGAAATACTTGGAGCCATGCCATGCCACGCCATGCCATGCCGTTCCACCAGACTGAAAAAGTCGTCACGTCAGTAAGTCATTCATTGAGTGAGTCAGCGTTAGGCAGGTAGGCAAGCTGGGCCGCCGCTACCTTCCCCACCGCTCTCGGGGAAGTCGCGACAGACACAGCCAGACGTATACATACAGACAGACAGACAGACAGAAAGACGACCGGCCAGCCAACTGGTCTGCTGGCCAGCCGTGGATACAGTGATCGAGTGATGGAGTGAGTGTGGATGGATGATGAATGAACGGGCAGCCAGACGGACAGACAGGCAGGCATACATACACGCATCCAGACGGACGGACAGACGACCTTGACTCACCTCTCTCCTTAACCACAAATAGCGGCCGGACGGACACTCACACCCGTTTGGCACTCAATCACTCATTAACACAAAACACACAACCGACACCATACGCTCACACACAGACACACATGGCCCACGGCACGGCAGATGACTGACGCAACGGCATGGCACGACGCGGCCCCTACGTACGTACGTTGGTACGTATGTATATGCCACATATGCTATATACCGCTCCCTCCCTCCCTCCCTCCCTCCCAACAACAGACAGACTCAGACATGCTAAAAATGCCCGCATGCCTGTCCGTCCCGTGCTATGGTCACTTGTCGTCGTCTGACTCGATGAAGATGCGGCCCGACCCCCGCCGCTCGCGCGAGCATGCAGGGGGAGGTCCCCCCCCTTCCTTGTCGCTGTCTGACTCCAGAGAGCTCACACGAGACGCACCCCTCTCGTAAGCGATACATACCCCCACCCCTTGCCAAAGGTGATGAGCTGTCCTTCCTCCTGCCCGCCGCTGCACTGCCGTCTTCCCCCTCCTTGATCAGCCCAATTTGCGTCTTTTGCTGCGCGTGTTCTCGGCTGGCCCTCCCCCGTTGAGCTCAGTGGCCGCGGCCTTCTTGTTGCTGCCGGCGGCCTTGATGTGTGGGGGCGGCGGGAAGATCTGGCGCAGCTTCACGATGGACCTGCACCCATCACACAACGGACAGAGATCACACGGATGAGATGTGGCATCCCCGTCTGTGTGTGTGTGCATGCGTGTGTCTGATGGACATACTTGAAGTAAGACGTGACGAGTTTCTCATACTCGTCCTGAAGGGCGGCCTTGTCCATCTGCGACACACACACACACACCAACCACCCACAGCGCCACACAATGACGAGTGAGCCCAGCAGCTGAGGCTGTCTGTCCTTCCGTCCATCATGTCTGTATGTAATGGGATGGGTGGAATGCATGGGCGACAAAAACGCTCTACATAGACGGTTCGTGTGTATATCTACACGCATCGCATCGCATCGCATCTCCTACTCTCGATGTAAGAACGTGGTGTGCGTGTGCCGTGTCGTGTTGTATGTGTGTGTCTGGGTGTGTGTGCCGTACCGAGTGTTTAGTGTGGCACACTTTGAAGAAGTCGAAATCCTCCTACTCGAACACACAGCACAGCAGCAGAGGGGAAACAGTGCAGACAGTGACCACACACACAGCTGCCGTGCTACTGTTCTACGGCGGCCATGACTAATGCCTTCCTCCCAACCTAACTGCCCGTCTCCCTGCTCGTCTGCCTGTCTGCCTGGCTGACCGCCCTCCGTCACTCACTCACCTCGTCGGTCGAGACGATATGGGGCTCCTTGATGTCCTTGCGCAGCCGCTGCTCGACACTACGGCGGTAGGCGGTGCCGGGAGCCAGGTAGGCCGGCGGGATCTCTTCCGGCAGGTCGAGCGGTAGCAGACGGGCGAGCTGCAGCAGCTCCGTCATCCTGATTGACAGATGCCAGCCAACGATATGCGCAGCCAGGAGGCAGGGAGGGAGGGGAGGATAGTGTGTGTGAAAGGTAGGTGTCTGTGTCTGTGTCTGTGTCGACCGACCGTGTGGCTTGAGGTTTGGTTTCCTTGAGGTTGGCGACGAGGCAGTCGATGGTCGGGATGCCCGCATCCGGATTCACCGTCTTCTGCACCGTGGATGGATGGCTCCCACCACCACCACCCTCAGCGGCGGCTGCTGCTGCTGCTGCTGCACTACTGCTACTGGCCCCGCCGCCATCCCTGCCCCTCGCCCTGCTCCTGGTGCTCATACCCACGTCCCTGGCAGCCACCGCCGACACACCGCTGTCGATGTCCATGCCATCCCCCACACTCCGCCGGCGCTTCTGGCTCCGGCGGGACATGCCACCAGACGCCGCACTCGCCGACGCGTCTGCGGCTGCCGACGATGCTGCACCAATCCCGCCGCTCGACACCCCCGCGTCGTTGACGGCTTTGTGGAGGGCGCGGGTGCGGTTGCGCGTCCGGTCTAGGGGGAGCTCGGGCTGGGACTGGCCGTTGGTAAGGCCCAGGCCGCTGCTGGCCGGGACGGCCGCTGATGCCGAGCTGGGTACCTCTGCCCCTGGGGGTGGGGGGTAGAGTGCGAGGGGGGACACGGCGTTGCGATCGATGGCTACCTTGACCGTCACCACGTCACGCAGCTGGACGAACGCCGGGGCAGGGTCTTCGACAGCCATCTGGTGGATGGATGGATCACACACACAGAGGGAGGGGGCGGGGAGGGAGGGGGAGGGGGAAAGACGTGTCTCATGGTGTGGTGGTGTTGCGCTCTGTGGGTTGGTGTTACCTCCTTGACATCGGCATCGTCCAGGTTCTGCTGATAGATCAGCTGATACAACTTCCTACCAATTCCTGCACACACAACACACAACACACAACACAACACAACACACAGCACAGCACAGTGAGTGCCGCTCTCCCATCCCCGTCTGCGTGCAGTGCATCGCACTGACCTTTTCTATGGTAGTGCGGGAAGATGAGGAACTGCGAGAGCCGGCTGCGGCTGCCCAACATCGACCGGCTCCAGAATGTGTAGGTGGTGACATACCCACACAGGCTCAGACACCCCGGCCGCCCGCTTGACGCACGGGGTCTCAGCTTGCGCCTGTAGACAACGCTGCCGGGCGACGCCAGGGGCCGCTTGTACGCGAGGTAGACGTGCCAGCGCTCGTCCTGGTCGATCTCCGACATGCCCTCGATGAACCAGTGCAGGAACCACTCCATCCGCCGGTGCAGCGGCTTGAACTCGCTCTCGTCAAACGTGCACCGTCTGACCTCGATCTCGATCTGCTCGTCCCCCGCACCCGCCGTGGGCCTCAACACCCCCACATGCTCCCCAGGCGGCTGGAATTGCCACCCACGGGTCGCCCGGCACTCGAGCTTGACGATGAAGTCGTGCTCTGAAGGGCAGAAGCCGCCCGGGAAGTCCACCTTGGTCAGGCATTCCATGACGCGCTCGCGGGAGGCCTGGAAGGACGGGCTCTCGCCCTCCACCTTCACGAACACGTCGAATGTGTCGGGGATATAGCAGATGTGGACGGACCCGTGTCGGGCGACCTCCTCGACGGCCATGATGGCCTGGTCCGTGTCGAAGAAGTGGTGGCCGAATGAGGGCTGGAACGTCTCTGGCGGCTTGTAATAGTCCTTTAGAGACTCGCAGGGGTGGAAGTACACGCTCTTAAGGGTGTTGACGCGATCCTCGAGCCTCTGCTTCTTGGACGGCGGCCCATCATCGTCAGAGGCCGTCTGCTTGGACAGCTTCTCCTTGACAATGGCGTTCCTGTCCTCCCCGCCCTTGTGTGTCTTGGTGGTGGGGTCCTTCTCAGGGTGCTCGCGGGTCTCCATGTAGTCGAGCAACTCGGCCATCGTCAGCTTCTTCGGCGGACCGTCGCCTTTCTCGCCCGCCAGACGCACGGAATCATAATGGACACCTTCACAGACAGCCGAAATGGAAGGAAACAAAAAACCGCATCAGCCACCTGATGCACTGCCTCCCCTGCCCTGCCATGCATCATACCTGCGTCGTGGCAGAGCTGAACACAGGGGTACTCCTTGGAGAAGAAGTCCAACTGCAATGTCCCCACGCCCTTCTTGTGGAGCAGGCAGTTGACTTGGTACAGGTGGCAGAGCGCATGCAGCGCCTGCTGGCCGCCCCACTCGCTGTCCAGGCGCATGCGGCTCACATACGCGTCGAGCTGCTCACCATCCTGAGGGATGATGGATGGCAGCACACAGACAGAAACCGGCACACACGATGCGTCAGTGCCTGATGTGACAGAGTGGCAGTGCGTGTTCTTCGGCCGAGAACGCACCTCCATGAAGGGCTCGAATTCGCTAGCATGTGCCTCGACGTAGTCCATAGCCTTCTGACGAAACTCAACGTGCTCATCTGGGTCACCTGAAAACACACAGACGCACTCACCCACATACACACGAGCTGACCCTGTGGTGTCGACACACGGCTGCCGTGAGGCCCACCTGTGATTTGGTCGGCGAATGCCCGGAACAGGCAGTTGCAGTCGGCCTTCACAGAGCGTATCCTGAGGCCACAGGCCGCCAGATGGCTCCTCAGACGCCCAACTTGGGTGCCAGGGCGCGAAAGAGGAACCCAAGTTGGGTGCGGAAGAGGGTGACGGCGGCGGTTGAGGCTGCGGCGGCCCTTGCTCTTCTGGGTGTGCTTGGTCTTACCCATTTGTCACAAAGCTGGGGATCTGCAGCAGCGGTTTCAGGGAGCACCCTAGGCGGCGTGACGGCCAAGCCCTCTGTCGTCCGTCCCAAACATGAACAACCAGGCACCCACAAACACTGTCCAGCCAGCGCTGGGCTTGCAAGCTCGCAAAAAGGCGGTGGCTTCAAGAATCGTCTCGACAGCGTCGTACTCAGCTTCTCACCGTGATGACTCTCTGCCAGATGCTGTTTTTTGCAAGGTGCTCTTCATAGCCATGCTCACTAATGAGTCGGCTCCCTCATTGACGCCTTCAGCGGCGGGTGAAGCAGAGGTCGGCTGTCCAAGAGCCACAGCTGGCCGATCTTGTCGACATCGGCGAAAGGACCAAAGCGGTCAGCCATCGAGGGCATGTTGCACAAGAGGCTGCTTTATGGAAGATCTCGAGAAGGCGCGGCAGCTTGGTATGCAGTAGCATCTCAGCAGACCGTCTGCAACAAGACCGGATCTCCCACCAAAGGCCCGCCCCCTTGTTCGTCAGCCCGCCCTCGCAGGAAGCAACCGCTAACAGCTGCAGTCGGGTGGCAACACCGCTGAAGAACCGGCAGAGCTGACAAAAGGGCATTGAAACCAACCAATGAAGGTTCGCCTTGCGAAGACGAGCGGCTGATAGAAGAGCTTCCGAGAGTGGAGCAAGAAACAGGGAGGCGACGCTGGTCGCCATTGCCGTGTGCTTCATCGTCATTCACTCTCTTCGGCCTTGTCCCTCTCGTGGGTCTGCCACGGCCCGCGGAGATGTAGGACATCATCGCGCAGGACAAGCAGGCAGCTCTTCGGCTCGTTGATGATGTCCTGACCTTCAGAGAGAGGTGTGAGGGGTTGTGGACGAGCTGGGCATTCTCGCTCTTGAAGAGAGGCAAGCCATTCAAGGTGAGCTGCAAGCCAGACAAGGAGGGACACCGGACGAGAAGGCACATGGCGTGTGTCTTCAGGCAGACATCTTCTGCGGTCTTTTCATTCCGTCGTTTGTCTGTTCGGCTGCTGCCGAGCTGCTGCAACAGTTGATTCTACTCGCTCGACATGACGTGGCCTCTGTTTGCTTGGCGCTGGTTGTCTATTGTTATCTTACGGTGCTGGTATATTTGTGGGAGAACCAGGACACGGTAGAGTGTGTAAAAGACGGTAGACTGCTGGAGTGTCTTAATCGTAGCAATTCGACCTTACGGATGGCTCATCCATGAAACAGACTCATTCAACGGTAATGAAGGCACCTACTAAACAAACCAACCACACCCACACACCCACCCACCCACCCACCCACACAGACGCACACACAGATAACTGTCATACGACCAACCAACCAATGTCATTTATGAAATGGGCGGGCGCTCATGACCAGCTTGGCACACAAACCGAGCTGTGACCAGCTATGCATGCAGCTGGAGCAGTGTATATTCGTATTGATAGTCCGCTCATACTTCAACGGCCAGCCGGGCAGCAGAGGGCAACTGAGCAAGAGTCGCATCTGGCGGAGCTTAGCGACTACTCGTCGGCAAGGCAATTTGAAAAGCGTGACCAGAATCACGGCTTGTCAGCATCGGCGAGAGGCTACGGCAGCTCGCAGCCCAGGCTGCTGCATGGCACCCCGGTCTGCAATAGCCCGTCTAGGCGGATGCTGTTGGTCACAGGGGATCCCACCCGAGACAAGAGGCCCGGAGAGGAGAGCAAGATGCTCTGCTGAAATGCCCGTGTCCACACGCTCGGGACGCCCCTAAACTCAACTATCTCTTCGGTTTGGTGTGTGCAGTCTGTACTGATAGTGTCGCTGCTTGCGACAGCTTCCGAACTGTCAAGCGGCCGAGCTTTTTGACTGGTTGACGGCTCATGACTCAACGGCAGCGGATGAACCAGTCTGGGGCCGAGACAAGAGGCCCGGAGAGGAGAGCAAGATGCTCTGCTGAAATGCCCGTGTCCACACGCTCGGGACGCCCCTAAACTCAACTATCTCTTCGGTTTGGTGTGTGCAGTCTGTACTGATAGTGTCGCTGCTTGCGACAGCTTCCGAACTGTCAAGCGGCCGAGCTTTTTGACTGGTTGACGGCTCATGACTCAACGGCAGCGGATGAACCAGTCTGGGGCAGCGAATGCGCAACTTGAAAGGATGTATCAGCAGACGCTCATGTTGATAGAGCTCACCCATGTGACAGACTTATTCATGCGACTCACCAATGGCACCGAAACCCTTGCCACGCACAATGCACTTAAAAAAGTGCACTTCCTCTACTTGCGACAGCTTCCGAGTTGTCCAGCCGTGCTATGGGGGAGGTCACACGTCACTCCACCTGTGGTGAGGGAGGCGACTCCGCCCCCACATTGCAGACTACAGACTCATCAGGCGGTCGTCAAGTCGCTGGCAAAACACTGAACCAGCTTGAGGCAGTGGATGCAGCCGTCTATGGCCATACATGAAGCGGGTGTGTTGTCTCGTGTCTCCCAGTACCCGTTGTGTGGTGCTGTGGAATTCGGGGGATCATCAGCCGCTGCGCCTCATATGACTGAGGCAAGGGCCGTATAAAATGGTCGAGCCTTCGCGTTGTGGCGTATAAAATGTGTTCATCCCCCCCCCGTTCCCTCTTGGCATATATCCCCCCCTCTTAGCGTCTATCATTGCAAAAGTGTGGGGACATTGCATCTTTCGGTCCAGCAGGAGCTTTGCCTGAGGCACACGTGTCTTGGGCTGCATCAGCCTTCGGGCTGCCTGCGATGCGGGGCCAGCGGGTCCGACGACCCGCCATATTTTCTTTCGTTCGTCCTCGAGCTACCCCTC